TGAAATGTTCTCATAGCTTTGATGACATTGTGTGATATTTGATCCATGTAAAGAATGTCATCACTGAAACAACTCGGTGCTTTAACAACACTTGCATTTATTATTTAGTACTGTACTTTATCTGTACTATTCCCAAAACAATGAGGTACAGTACTGTTGAATGCAAATAGGAACCCTGTAGAGATTTTTTTTTGATGCAGTACAACATGATCATATCATACTCCAAAACAGCCTAATAGGTTTCCTCTTCACCGCACAGTACTGCAGTGTCCAGGTCTTGTCTTATCAGTGAGCCTTTCAGGAGTTTTTGATCTTTACAGGAAGAAGCATTTGGGTTAGAAGGTTCATATTTGCCATGAATATTTCCTTGTGAATACTGTACCAAGATTAAGTTTGAATTTGAGTCACTGACCTATAAAATTTGTCCATATGCGAGTCTTTCCATGAGCCTCTAGATTCAACAGTGCATATGATTAACTTTCATTGGGTTGGTAGGTACTTTATTTATTTCTGCAGATATTTAATAACTATAGTGTGACTTAAGCCGTGCATTTTTAAGCTCTTAGATTACCTGCATTTTAGTTTAATTGTTAATGAAAGGAAACATTAATTAATGAAGTATACAGTAATATAGTTTTTCTTTATGGTAATTGTATTGGATAAGTACCAAATATAGTTCCTGCCAAGTTCCTATAATAATTCAGACTGAGAAATGCTCTCCTGTTCTACTCATGACTCTCTGTCCTATAATTTAGTATGCAAGTAGAAAGCTCCTTTAGAACTCTGATTGTATAAGTCATCAGTGACTTAACCAAGTCCTTTTAATGTGATATGATATGATTTTTCATGAAAACTAATCATTAACCCTAAGGTCCCGGGTCCGACCAGTGTGCCCCGGGTGACGTTCCAGAACGCTCGCCTATTTCCGCCAGTTTAAATGCCCAGCGCGGGTTATCAGGTTCTAGTGTGACTCTTTGCCTGTCACACTCAGCCACAGTGCAGCTTCCTGAACATAATTACCTACTTTTGTTTGTTTCATTTTCATTGTTTGTCTATTTTATCATGTTGTATCAAAGTAATATTGCTAAAAGTAGTGTAGTTGTATTGTATGGTAGTATTACCGTAAAGCAATGCTATGATTATGTTATAAATGTATTTATTTGTGGAATTATTATTATTTTATGCATTACTTGCTCTACCAAACACAAAGACAGCCAGGCAGACTGGCGACCGACTGGTGATTGTTGCCAATCACTTTTTTATGATAAATTACGCAAATAAATTTTCTAAATTAATTATTTATAGCAAATAAGTCTTAAGATCAGTAAATATATACATTATTGGCCACCTCGAACACAAAGGCGAGCTAAAAATAGGTGCCGAGTGTGTAGGGACCACGAGGGTCAGCTGTCAAACCAACACTGTCTCCTTATCCCCCCTCCCTCCCTTCCTGTGCATGACCAGAGAAGTTTCTAGAGGGTCTATATAGTTTTTCTTACTTATTTTTTATCATTTTAAAAGGTAAAAAATGATTTTTGGAAAAGTTTATTTTTTTCAAGTTACCCCCGCAGGGGGGAGGGGGGGACTGTCACTAGCACCCTAACCCGGGGCTTAAGGTAAGACAATTATTATTATACATTATGGCCAACCCATTGCTCTGCCTCCTATCTTTCCTGCTACTATATACAGTGCTTAGTATATTTCTCAGTGTCAATTTCTCCTTCATTTAACCATCTCGCCTACAGTCCTGCAAAATCCAGATTGTGTCTATCTAGCTTGTAAGCCACTTGTTTGGCATATTCTGCTCTTTTCCTATACCCATTCCAGATATAAATTTTCAGTTGGTCCTTCCAACATCCTATGCATTTTTTTAGCATCTGTAACAATAGCAATTTTGGATGAACAGGTATTGGATTTGATCCGTCACATTCTTGACAAATATCTTTGTAAATTCTTGCATACCTCTCTCTCTCATTCAAGGTTGCAAGCCAAGGACTTTACACCTGACCACGGAATATTTACTTATCCTCTACAGTACTGTGCAGTATATATCCATACCCCTCCACAATGTCGGCAATACATGTACTACCAAAGGGATTATTTTATCTTATACAGGTACACCACAGATTATCCAGGAACTGATGGTCCGGCACCTCCTTTAGTCCGGACAAAAATATGAGAGGGCATTTAATTTCTCTTCCAGCCATGGTGAAGGTAGTTTTAGGCTTAAAGGTTTTTTCTTTTAAAATGTAGCTGACTAGACTTAGCAGAATATAAATTACACTGCTGGAATCCTTGTAAGATAGTGTTTAATTTGAGTATAAATATCACATAGTTTGTACAAGAGATAAAATTTTTAGTCTAGTGTAGTACATTTGAGTACAAAGTGGGTACAGTAATGTTGCTCAAAATTATGTTGTTTTTTCACATTCAATTTACATTTAATATTTGTTTAATTTATGTTTCTATCAGTCCATGGTGCTTTAGAGACACAGGAGGTGTATAATTAGTGGGTCAGAGGTATATTGTTGAATTATTATTACCTGACCTCAGTTGGTCCGGCAAAACAGATAATCCGGCAAGGCTTTGGAACCAAGGGTGCCGGAAAATCGGTGGTGGACCTTATACTGTATATGGTCTATCCCTGCCCTCCCTTCTCAAAAGAAGGGAATACTCAGACTTACTCATATATAAATAATTATGCAGTCTTCGTCCATGTATGTACTTTTTGTTCAACTGTGGCTTGAAAAATCAAATTTGCTAACTTTATAAAATACAGTACAGTACTTCATTAAATGTATCCAAGAAAGCCTTTTACCTCATGCTTGAAGTGCAGTACTATGAAAGTATTTTTTCATTTAGTGGATAAAGTACTTGTACTTGTATTTAAGAGTCCTTGCCTAAAATGTCTAGAGTATAGCTCAGGAAATATATTCAATATTTGAGCATATAATTCAGTTGTATAAAAATTTGCATGGCATATTGTGATAATGTATGTATAAAAAATAAACCTTATTTTGCTTAATGTGCCTACCAGTTCCTTGTGGCCTTCAGTAGTTACACTCTTTTTAGATATAAGAGGAAGGTGGTGGGTGTACAGCATAGGTTCAAATATCATGTGTGTCATTTAAGTTATTTAAAAAAATTTACACAAGAAGATTTCTTGAAAAAGTCTCTTCCTAACTACTGGTATAATTAATAGTTTGCATAAAGCTAGAACAATGCAAAGAATTAATATTGAATATACCGGTACTGTACAGGAATTTACTGAAAGGCTAAATAAGTCTACCATGAGAAATTGGGGAGCAACGCTAGAACTGATTCTTATCCCCTCTGCACCCCTTATAAATATTTACTTCCAAATGTCATATTGAATATTAAACTAGGGATCAAGGGGGTTTTGAGGGTTTACTGTTTGATGGTATTCTCTGCAGTTTTGAAAGTTTCTGGTATTTGAAGAACGTGGTCATGTTATCAATATCATATTCCAATGTTTCATAGTATAGAGGCTTCTAGCCAGGTAGATACTAGGACAATACACTGATATATTAGCCACACAATATTGATGTTATGTGAGTAATAATATAAATGATTGTATGAATTGTATATACTATATACTGTATATTTTTGTGTATATTCCACAAAATATAAGGAATGCATGCTTAATCATAATAATGACTGCAGGGCATTGTAGTGAAGGAAAAATACAGTAAAGAGCCACATAATACTGTACTGTACAATGTATTTTATTCATGTGTACAGATACACTCGGCAAAAAAAAGTATCTTTACAATTCTTGTGTGAAACAAAATAACACCACAAATTAAGATTTTTTATAAAGGTACATGAGGCATACTGTTATTCACCAATCATATTGCAACAGACTTATTTTATATTTTGAATGAAATAACTAAAATACGCGACTTGGGCAGTTCCCAATGAGGTTCACAGCGCCATCAACTCGATGAACAGGCTTTGTGTGAAATATAACATAGTCTAGAACTGCTTTTAGTGTCCTTGTGGCTTAGTCAGTAACGTTCCCTAGTCCCATGCAGTAGGTCGAGGGTTCGAGTCCTGGCTGGTGAGGTCGTTGATTATGTGTTCAAAGTCCGTGTGTTATATGGACTAAAAAATGATATATATATATATATATATATATATATATATATATATATATATATATATATATATATATATATATATATATATATATATATATATATATATATATATATATATATATATATATATATATATATATATATATATATCTTCAAGTTTTTCAAGGCAATTTTTTTACGGGGATTAGCCTAAAGTGGATTCCTCCCCTACAAACGCTGTTTGTCGCTGAGTAGCCGACCCCGCGAATTCCCCAGTGTATGCCTCGTGGTCTGGGTCAACCAGCGCCGCCTTACATGACGGAGGTCAACTACTAAGCCACGCCTACCTCCGCTATTTAAGACCTGACCTCGTGGTGACCACTCTCTTTTCTAGCTACAGCTGTAGCAAGCAACACCTCCTCCTCCTCCGCCTGCCTGGCGGTCCTCGCTCCCGCGGGCGACCCACAAGCTGTCCTCCTCTGAGCATCCTCACCAACCAGCTCTCTCTACATCACGCTTGTAACCATGCTGCCTTCCCAGCACCAAGCTGCATTGTACATCCAATACAACATGTATACAGAGAGCACATCGTGAGTTTCCTTTCTCCATCCCATCCTGAGTGTGAATCCAAACAATTACCACTTTACCCCTCAAGCCCAACCGGGCACAGGTCACTGACCCTCACCCACACGGGGCCTGGGTCCCTGGGAGGTGAAAATGCAATAATAACAATTCAGATGAATAATATTTATAATAAAAATACAAATATAAAAGTAATAAAATATCAATGACAATAATAATAATAATAACACTGCAGTAATAATAATAATAATAATAATAATAATAATAATAAGAACCATTAAGAAATAAAAAAAAATAATCAAGAATGATAAACAATGTATGTATGTTGTTGTCTTTCAATCAAACAATTTGGCCACTGTTCCTTGTCACTGGCAGGCTGCCAACGCTTTGGTCTGGGTGACCGGGTTATACACCAACGACACTCATAACTCCAGCTGACGAAAACATGGCCACCAGAGCAGTTCACGCAGTTCGTAATCTCGGTGGATTTATTCACAGAACCTTACCACGACATGTTACAGTAAGTTAATAATTTCTTTCTTTCTTAGAAGTTAGTTTGGTAAATTTATAGTAGTTCACACAACTCTTTTAGAAAGCCCAAATTATGTTTTTCTAGTGTATTTTTGTGTTTTGGTTGGTTCTGACCTTGATTTCCGCCGGAGATTGCCTGTGTTGTAGTTATCGCCCCCTTCTACCACCAACAAGATTGGGGATTCTGTTGGGAACCTGGGTTTTGGATTGGGGCGTTTTCCGACAAAAATCATGGCCAAGTGAATACAAAGGGGTATGCTCATTTGGGGTCTGCTCGTTTCGTCACCTGTTGTGGGCGACCTTACTTTTACTGAGATGGGAGTAGTGGTTGTGAAGTCCTCCATATTAGCCCAACCTCTTTTTATTTGTATTTTATTTCATTTTATTTTTTTTCTCTATCTACAATCATGAATCACCTGTAGTGGGCAGGGCATGAAGGATGAGGGAAATTGTGGGGTAAAACACTGTGAAAACTGATCATATAACACTAAAAAATGTATGTGCTTTGCAAGTGAAGAAATTAATTATTTGCCGTAAATACTTCTCCAAAAAATATGTGGTCACTGTGTGTCCTCTGTTTACAACTGACCCACTTGGTCCAAGCATACCCCCATGTCCACAAAAAACAACAAATTACACTATGATGCTTTAACAAAGTTGAATTCATTAGTACCAGACATCAAAATAAGAACAGTACTTTCTGTTTAATATGGCATGGGATGCCCCCGGGCCAGGGAATTAGGTAAGGTTAGGTAGGTTTCTTTGGTTGGTTAGGTCAGGTTCTATTAAGTTGTAGTAGATGTCATATTCTTATAAAATACTGTACTATCACCCAAAGAACATATGTGGACAAAATGAATGAAATCGAACAACTGGTAGTATGTTGTATTCAGACATTATCCTAGAACCCAGTAGAACCTGACCTAACCTCACCTAACTTCCTAACCTGTGTATTTTTTTTTCGGTTTTCTTATTTTCCATCATCTAAACAACATCTCTAGTAAAAGACAAATTCAATCCAATATACAGTAAGTTGTAATAAACACACCCGATGAGATTGTCAATCATTTCTCAACGTAAAAATAAAGACGGGAAAATTTCAGAAAAATGTCAGGGAGGACAACATCCAACCTCATCTCATGCTAGCCAAATGGCTACTGGAAAAATTCTTGCAGTATCCCACCATGTCAAACAGTTGCCAATGCTTGCTAGAGCACACCAATTTCAATTGCATCAACCAACACTGTTTTAAGGGGTAAAGTAATTTTTGCCTTTCAAAATGGCACTGGCCCTCGCAACAGAGTCATTGGTGCAAACTCTATATATATATTTTGTACTTGTATTTGCTAGGTGCCATATCGATCTCCTGCTATTTTGAACAAGTACTGTAGTGTTGAAGCGGTCGGTCCCGTCTCTGTTATAGACTGTTGGCAAGTGCTGGGCATGAACTGGCTCCAGAATATATACAGTACACTGTATCTGTACCTGTATCACTGTTAGTCAAAACTGGTCTTAAATAAGCCCACTCTTGGTGCTGTCACAACACTGGCAAATTGTTCCAAAAAATGCACAACTCTTGCTACAATAAATGCGAGAAGCATGTATTTTTTCTTTCTTTTTTTTAACCTCATAATTGTTTTCAGAACACATATTTATTTTATGATTTTGTTAGGTGAACAGCAAAAAAAAAAAAATGTTAAAATCCAAAATATGATGCAGTAAATAATAGTGTATAAGTGTTTACATGTAGCTAGTAAAATGTTAGTTTTCAAATTGATTATCTTATTAAATGTATCTGAACATAAACTTTTCGGTGAGTACAGTGTACTGAATTTATTTTTTCTAAACGATGGTCAAAGACTGACAGTCATTTTAGGGCTACTGTATAAGACTAGCCAGCCGTTGTAATGTTTAACCGAATTCTTGTTCATTAATTTGTCATTCAGCAGGATGTGCCTGGCCTTTCTTTGAGAACTAAGACCATATAGCCTACACAAGACCACCTATTAGAGATTTAACAATTTAGATAAAACAAAGTGGTATGGTCTTCTCTTTTTCAGGTTTACCGATTTTACAGTGATGGAGACATGCATGCTGCTCCACCTCACATTGTGGAGCCCACTATTCCTCCCTATGAAGAGAAGGTTGGAGAACCTATTCACATGAAGAAGGCCAGGTAGGTGGTTTTATGTGACTTTTAAGTGCAAAATTTTTCATGTACTGTATATACAGTAATTAAATTATATGAAGGTTTTTACGTGATAAAATTACAAAAGAGCTCTACCAGGTTCAAATTGAAAACAATGGCAGTTACAGGGTAAATTACAATCCTTGTGGTGAATATGTGCAATTCTAGGCTTAAGGAGCCATTTTTTCTCTATATAAACCCAATTGTAACAATTTTAGGTGTGTAAGATTGTTAAATTATCAGTACAGTGGAGTCAAGATAATTTGTTGGTTAAGTACCAGAAGAAACTGCAATTTGTAGTTTAATTGATATAAATGTTAATAATTAGTCAGGTTACTGAGGCCAAAAAATATGTATAAACTATTCCAAAACTGCTTTAATAAACACAAAATATCATAAAGTTAGCTTAACCTTGTGTTTCCCTCCCACCCATCAAATCCATATCCTGCAAAATACTGTACAGTATATAAAAAGATACAGTAACATGTACATAAACAGCTCTTTCCCTTATCATATTTGCAAATATGCCAACTTTGAGACAGGCACTGCAGCACTGGCTGCTGGCAAACTTAATTTTCTTAACCAAAAACTAAACTAGGCTTTTAAAATTCTGATACCTTTTTTATGGATCACAAATTCACAAATTAAATTTAGCTATTCTGATTTTGCAGCCAGTTTTAAATCCATCTTTATCATTACCAAACCGAAAACAGCAGTGAGTGAGCGAACAAGCTTGTACAATGGCAGCAGAAATAATGCAAGAGTTTGAGGAGATAGGCTGCGAGATACATCAGCCACTCAACGACGGTAGTGCCCAATCATAGCTCACAGGCACTCTGAGCCTACCCACACAGATGGGGGGGGGGGGTGTATGATGATTATTGTTAGGGTTAAAGGGGTGAGTACTGTATTGGGATGATATGGGGGTGGTTATGGTGGTGGTATGTTGAAGTGACTGATAATGTGATTAGTAATGTGTTTTTAAGTGTGCGAGTAAACATTTACACGCCAAGAATTGAAGGGAAGTTGTTTCTCGAAAATGGTATTGTACTTGGGGTTGCTCACAGTACATTTTTCTAATTTTATTTCACAAGCAAATTATTCTAGAAAGGAAACAAGAACAATTGCAAAAAGGCTCATATATCAGCATTTTATCCCATTATAGTTATACATGATGTAAATAATGTATACAGTACTGTAAACTTTTATAGGAAATAAGAAATAAACAAGGGACAAAACGGCAAGTGTAATGGGTTATATATCACGCAAAGCTGAATAACACATGGTACTGTACCTCTGATATGGGGTTCAGGGTCATATGAGCCCTTGGAGCGAGAGTTACTGCAGGGAGAGAGAGGTGGCTAATATTCAGAGTATCCCCACTTGCTTTAGGTTAGGACTTCACCGGTATTGTAAACCTCTAGCATTTACAGCATTGGGAATATTCATAAGTCATTCTATTTACAGTTGGTTATAGAATGGGGTTTCAGGATCAATCCCTCATATATTTTAACACATTTACCATTTTTATTTTATTTTTTATTTTATTTTTTTAGTTTTGATATCGGTAATTTTGAATTATAAACAGTAGAAATATGCTGATGATGCATTTTGTACTATACAGTAGTTCATAAAGTTGAGGTTTGAGATGGATTTCATGTTGAAATACTGTTCTGTACTCTATTTTTTTATGTTAGTTCTTCATATCTTCAAACAATATCATAAGTTTCAGTTACAGATTTAAACTGCAAATATTCCCTAATTTATATTTGTTGCTTTACAGGCTGCAGTATCAGTCCAGGAAGCGTGGCATGTTGGAAAATGGCTTAATTCTTGGTACCTTTGCTCATAAATACCTTGATGCTATGAATGAGAAGCAGCTGTCTTTGTATGACCGCTTGATTAACCTGCCATCAAATGATTGGGAGATATTCTACTGGGCAACAGGTTAGTCTTATATTAGTTTTAACTGTATTAAGCCCCCCCAAAAAAAAAATAATAATACATAAATAAATAAATAAAATAAACAAATAAAAATCTAAAGTTTGAATTGTAAAGAAATGAAATGTGAGATAAATTGAAATATCGAAAGATGTCTCCTTATAGTGTTGGTAACATCTGTGTCCCCTTTTTTTTAATACTACTATGTTAAAATAAAGCCTGTCATTGCATTGTGTTTTGAGAATTGTAAATGTTCATAATTTATTCCTATAATAATAATAATAATAATAGTAATCAACTTTTTGGAACTGGGAAGCCTGTGTATATTGGTGAGAGTTACGTATGATTTTTCCACAACTTTGATAACATTACTGTTGACTTTTAGTAGTTGTGGAACATATCCTAATTTTCCCAATAAGATTAAGTATTCACTACATGCATCCCAAAACCATCAAAGCTGCCAGACTATCGGGTCCCGGATTAGCGAAGTCCAACCTGTACAGTCAGGTCTGCTATAACGCGATAGTTGTGTTCTTGTAAAACATCGTGTTATGGAAATTCGTGTAATAGAAATAACAGGGCTTATGGAGAAAATAGGGTTAGGTGCAGATTACTACTTGAAATCGAAAAAAATTTAGTAGTTAGCCTAACACAAAGGTTAGCACAGTCGAAATAAATGTTACATTCATATCTAATAATGAAATCATACAGTAAATGTAACACTGCCTTGAAAAAATATGAATATAACTTGATGGTGGAGAAGGGTGATTTTGAGGTTGATAACATCGAGCTTCTCTTCAAGGGTTATAGCCTTTTTTTTTGCGATCATCACCGGGAATGCGATCACCAGAACGCTTCTTGGAGATATTCTTCTTTACCATATTTACAGTTAATACCACAAAATTGGAGAAATAGTAAGCAAAAATCGTGTTACAGCAAACAAGCGTTTGCGTGATACAAATATCGTTCCTCTATTCATAAATCGCGTTAGAGCCAATTCGCGTTGTCAAAACACACGTTATAGCAGAACTCACTGTAAATGACTTTTTATGACAAATCCACTTAATACATATTCACTGCTAAAATGAATACTCTAGTAATTTCTTCCTGGAATTTTACCATAGAAATGCCTCATTGGTTTTAGGATGAAAGTGGAAGATTCTCAAATCCAGGTCTTAATAATTTCTTTTATCCCCAAGGTTATACTTCAGTAATGTATTAGCACAGTACTGTATGTTCAGTACAAGTACTTTGTGTGCAGTTAAAGATTTATAAGTTTAGTTGTGACCTGGTTAGGATAATCCTATGTAATTTATTTCTCTACATAAAGTTGAGTCCAAAAGTATTTAATAAGCCATAGGTCATTGTATAAAACCAGTTAAGTTTTGTAAAAATGTAAGAAAATTTTATTCCCTGCTCAATTTTTTTTCGTTACAGGTGTGCGGCCAACTCCTCCAGAATTTGATAATGAAATCATGACAATGCTCAAAGATTTTGTTAAAAATGAAGACAGAGAGAACAGAACCCTTCAACCTAACCTCCACTGAGCAGGTGTTAAATTTTTTGCCAAGCTGTATAAAGTAAATAACTTGTATTAAAAACTTTTGATTAACACAAAACATTCTGATCAAATTGTAAGCTCTACTGGGAAGTCTCTTATACCGATCAGTTTGTAAGTACAGGTTACATGTATTTTAATCTCTCGAGTCATAATCATTAGCATAAACACGGGTTACATGTACAGTTTCATATACCTGTACAGTATTCATCAGTTCATGGGCACTATATTTATAGTGTCCTATACTTATCAATTTATAAGTGCCTGTACTGTACAGTATTAGGTACTTAATGTACAGTATACTGTAGTTTCTTCCAGTGTTCACTTTTCACAACTCAGTTGAGTGGGATGGGTTGTGTGACAGAGGAGTAATTAGTCTAAACCAGAAGTCTGACACAGGTTGTAAAGACCAGTAGACTTTATAATTAGTGTATTAACCCCTTGTGTACGGGGTTTCCTCTCAGTTGAATAAAATCGTCCGGCATTAGCCAAATATACTTTTGAAAGTAGCATCCCCAGAGTGAAGGGGTTAATAGTTTGTGCTTAAGGTTGGTTTCCATTTAACTCTCTAAGACTGACTACACCAATCTGCTGATCATCATGTGCAAGAATATGGGGAATTATGAAATATAAAATATTAAAATAAGATCCTTACAAACACACACACACATACACCCCAAGCACTGGAAAGGTTTGGCAGCCAACTAATGCACCACCCTCGTCATCGCCGCCTCCTTTCCACTGGCAGCCCCCCACCCACCTCGCGCAGTCCGGCACTACAACAAAATTCAGCCTATAAGAGCCCGCACTGATAGATATAAGAATAGCACCATCCCATCTATTGTTAAAATAATAAACAACTCCTGATTTATGTACTGTACAGCCCTGTAAATATATTCATTGCATATTATATCATTATGTCAAAATCAAATGTAAGTCTGTAAATTTTCAGCCACCGGCTGCAACTATTAATAAACCGCTTATTATTATTATTATTATTATTTATTATCACACACACACCCACCCCCTCCCTATGCTCTTTATTTTTCTTATTTTTCAGTTTTATATTATAATTTATTTCTAAGCCACAGTAGAGTACAGTATTGTAATTTTTATTCTTTTGCTCTGTATTAAAGAAAACGTTTTTACTAGGAGTGACTAAAATGTCCTTATATGTTTATTTACATACTCTGACTTGAATATTGAATTTATTAAGCTATCATAATGATTACAATATTTTTTTTTTTACATTTCAGAACAATTATTGTAATGTTTTTTGGCAGTTACAAAGCATTTTTTTTTATTTTTTCTGAAACGAGCACAGACTAGCGATAAACATGGTAATTGGGTAACTCGGAAAAATGCACAGATTTGCTGAAAAACGATGTCTGAAACACGAATTTGCAGGGTCAGGGTGTACCTCCAGTAACCCCTTCACTACGGGAACACCACTTTTATATTTTATTTGGCTAATGCCAGACGATTTTATTCAGTTCAGAGGGGGACCTGTGTGCAAGGGTTTAAAGGGACAACAAGAAATCCTCACCCAGTAATCACCAAATGTGGACAGCATACCAAATTATCAGTTACAAGAAAATGGTGACATACTGTACTGTGATCAGTGACTCCTTGTGGCAGGAGGTCATTGACAGTGGGACAATCAAGGCAATGATGCTGAAGGATATAAGATATGGGACTGTTATAGCACATCTTTTAGAAAGAGAAGTGCAAGACATACTCCGCCTCACAGACTTGCCAGGTAGGTCTGTGTCTCGGCCTAATGCATGCCGAGACATTATTACGTCTGCTAACCATAAGTCCACGTCGACAATACTTACAAGTACCGCCAAAAAATATTGATACCCTTTAATTTTTCACATGATATTCATACAGAAACTTATTTCAAGGATGAATAAAACACATTTATAGACTTAAAATGTTTTATTCTACTAGTATTTAGTACTTAGTCATATTTCCCTTATATTACCAGTTGAAGTCTTTTTGGCAGGGATTCTGCTTATATTTGAAAATACTCTCCATCCATCTCAATCTCCCACAAGCGCTTGATTTCCTCCTGTAGCCGATGGTACAGTTGATGTATCCCATGTTGACAGCTTCCGTTTCATCTCGTGCCATACACTTTTGATGGGCTTTAATTCTGGTGAGTTCCTAGGCCATTCCAACAGTGGAATAGCCCTTTCCTGAAGCCAAGTTGTCACACTTTTTGACCTGTGACAGGGGGCACCATCTTGTATGAAGAATGTGTACTGGTGAAGTTGATAATAATCCAATATATATTTTTCCAAGACAGTCTTGTAACGATCAGAGTTCATTGTCGCGTTTTGGGGGAGGAAATGGAAGCCAGCATCACCAAGTTTTCCACTGAGCGCTTCCCACACCATCGCACTTGCAGGATGTTGCACGGTTTTAATTGTGCAACAAGGATCATACCTCCTGGTGTTGGTAGGCCTTCTGCCTATCCGTTTGCCTGCAGTCAGGACGAAAAAAGTGCTTTTGTCGGACCACATCACAGAATTCTAGTGTTCTTTGCTCAGTGGTGGTATTTTCTTGCAAAGGCAAGCCGCTGACGGTGCATTCGGTCTGTGAGAAGTGGTTTTCGTGCTGCTTGACGGGAAAGCAGATGAAGTTCCTTCTGAAGGCCGTGTTGAATTGTTAATTCTGAAATGTTTTGCAGGAGGATGGGGTGTGCTTTCTTCAATTGTGATGCGCTCTTATTAGGATTTCTCATTATCTCAAGCCTCAGTAGTGAATCAGTGCATTTAGAGGTCTTCCTTGTGATAATTTCCTTGGTAGAATAACGTTGGTGGGAAGGTTGCTTGTCGATCGCTTAAGCCTCTTAATCGTTACCGTTCCTCGTCCTGTTCCTTGAAATTTCTTTCACAGTGACTTTTTCCTTTAGCAGGGCAAGCATCCAATCCTTCTCTGCCCCAGACATGTTTTGGGGAGCCATGATCTCAGTACATTATCATGTTAAAGTACTATACAGTATTTGGATGTAAAGTGTATACTGTACTGGTAATTACAGTATTGTGTTTAACTTAAATCAATCAATCCGATATATCTTTTTAGCTTCACTTCCTACACGACTTTGTGAATTCTGAAAAATGCCAGTAGTGTGTGTTGCTGATAACATATTCAAACAACTAACAGGGTAAATAGATTATCCAGGGAAAATGCAAAAAAAATTTCGCAGTGAATCATTAACAACATCTGCAGTTTCTCAGCCTTGTCTCTCAAGTATAGTACTGTACAATAGTTTAACAGTAATAGCATCGACTTTGTTCAAAATCTCAGTATAGGTACTCCTGAACATGCTGATTAAGGATCTGTTGACCAAAATTTGATAACTGAATTATTACTGTTCAAATAACTTTTGGAAAATTTTAATTACAG